ATTCTCTGTTTAAAAAGAAAAAAAAAAGCTACCTATTGAATGATAAGAAATTTCTCTGTGAAAGAATGAAAAGTTCTGCATTTGATATTACATACTTTTTCAAACCATTGTCTTCAGATACAATTTTTTTTTTCAAATTTATTGTGTCTCAGCTACACATTTTAAGCTAGTGGGTGTAGGGAACAAAGTTTGGCCATTTAGGAGAGTAGAGAAGAATTCATATTAATTCAGGTTTAGTTTCCAACCACCCAATGAATATTTATAATTTTATACACTGTTGTCTCCCAAATATTACCAGATATATTCACAAAAACTGGAAAAGAACAATAAACGGAATGTTATATTATGCTAAATGTTCTGTAACTTCAAAGTTTAAGTTGCCTAATGTGAGATCCACGATGGCGGCGAAGTAGGTGGAAGCCACCCTCTCTCTTCCCACGACAAAACTGGAATTACAATTAAATGGTAGAGAAGCCATCCTGAATAGCCAACTGAAGAGCAGTCTTATAACCAAAAAAATCACAGAAGCCACATTAAGACTGGCAGGAAGGGCAGAGACACGAAAAAGTCCAGCCCTGTCCCCATGGGCAGTGACCGAGGTTCTGAAGGGACACCTCAGCTGCCTACCTTCCCCCTGAAAAGTGGAAGGACTCTACCCCAAGCCAGGCCCCCCCGGCCCAGAGCACCGGTGCTGGGAAGAGGCACCCACATAATATCAGGCTGAAAAAAGCAGTGTAGTGTGTGTCCACCAGGGAGAAGCAAGTGGCCACTGGAGACACAGACCCCTTCTTAAAGGGCCAGTGCACACAATTTTGTTTGCAGCTATGCACCCTGGGCTCTAGCAGATGGAAGATGGAGCAGACTAGACACCTGTGATGAAGAGTCTAGTGTGTGTGGCTCTGGGGAGGAAGCTGAAGGGGCGGCCACCAGCATCCCTGTGCTGAGTCATTCCCCTGGACTGCAGACACCCTGTTTCTTGGGTGGAGCCATCCCCTCTGAGCAGCATCAGCCCTGGGGAAAGCAGCAGCCCAACCCCCTGGCCTCCCTCTTGCCCCTCCCTGTGGAGGTTAGGCTTTACTGAGAAGTACACTCAGAGGATCTTCCAGGGACTGAACCTAGCAGGGCACCTTCAGGCAGAGGCAGGCGAGACAGGTGGAGGCTGATTAGTCTGGGCGCCTTGGGCCTTTTGCTGGCCCGTTCCTGGCTCGATGCTGGTAAAAGTCAGCACTGACGCGCACCTTGGTCCTTCCGACGTGCACCCCGACTCAGCAGAGGCGACCACAAACAGTGGATGTTGGTGGCTCCAGTTTACCGAGGGGCAGTCACAGGTGGCAACTGACATTGGCCTGCACCACAATCCCTTGCAAGAGGCCCAGAACCAACACACCCAGTGGCCAGCTTCAGATAACATCAGAGTAGGATCCGATATGCCTCACAAACAGCATCTCCAGAGGGAGTTCTCGGCAGGCCCCAGACCCTGCTGAGGCAAATTCTGCTTCAGGTGGTCTGCACCTGCATAGCAGTTTGAACTCTACCGTAGGATTCGAGCTTCACAGACAGCGAGTCTCAGGGTCATTCCCGTGTCAAAGTGGCTAATAGAAATCAGCACTCAGTTACAACAGGAGGGTCCACATAATCCAAACAAGGGACATTCCTGGAGCACCCAGCTCCAGGTGATCCAGGAGACTGCACCACTGGACCCCTCAGGACACCTATGACACAAGGCTACCCCACAATGACCAGAAGTCACAACAGATCTATCTAATGCATGGAAACAAACAGAAAAAGGCAGCAGAAGTGGGGAGACAAAGAAACAAGTTTCCTAATGAAAGAACAAGGGAAATCTCCAAAAGAAGAACTAAACAAAATGGAGGCAAGCCGTATATAAGATGTAGAGATCAAAGTAATGCTTATAAGGACACTAAAGAGCATGAAAAAAGACATGGAAACCATAAAAAAGAACCACTCGGAAATGAAGACTACAGTATATGAAATGAAGAAATCACTGGAAGGAAAAAACAGTAGGCTGGATGAACTCATTTCACTTAAGGAAAATATGCTGGAGAGTGGTCACTTTCTCATATAATATAGCCATCAACATCATTCATATTATATTTAAAGAACACATAACCAATAAAGACATGCAAAATCCAGAAAGTGGGACCAAGGGCAGAAATGCAAAAGGGACATTTTGGCTCAAGAGACCCCAGCAATAATGCAAAACGACTCACAGAATAGAAAGGACTTATACCACTATCTTCTCATCCTGGGAGGGTATTCCTGCAAAGTCCTCTTTCGGGAAAATGAAATTCAAAGCCCTTAAGAGCATCTTTTAATTAAAGATTTTAATTATTTATTTTTAGAGAGAAGAAGGGAGGGAGAAAAAGAGGGAGAGAAACCTCAATGTGTGGTTGCTTCCCACGCACCCTCTACTGGGGACCTGGCCCACCCAAGAACGGGAATCGAACCAGCGCGATTGGTTCCCAGGCCGGGACCAATGCACTGAGCCACACCAGCCAGGGCTGAGCACCACTGGTTTTATCAGGGAGAATAATCCTGAGAGAATAATATTTGATAACTGATTCTAAGTTGTCCATCTATGCTTATACCAACCGATACTCATCAATAAATGCCATGAAGAAGTGTTTTTTTTAAAAAAAAAACCAAGACAGAATGGAAAGCTACCCTCATGAATGCACCACAGGGCCTGAAAGGGGGCTTATCAGCATCGCTTTCTACGGGGAAGGAGAGGGGTCATACATGTGCATGACCGACCTTCATGGAATTGCCAAAAGAAAGGGCAGAAATTATAATGGTGATTTTTTAATTTACATGTTTTTATAATTATCTTTTTTTAAGACTGAGCTTTTCAGAAGCTGAGTTCACCAGGATCACATTTAGATTTTTTAAAAAGTCTGGACTAAAAGCTTCCTTGAAAAAAACCAACTTAATTTCTCTCCCATTCCAGCCTAATGCAACTGCAATGAAATGCACTGTTACTGAAGAATTCATCACCCTCTATGTCAGATCTAATCTTAGCAAAAGTCAATGTCCTGTCAAACCAATTGACGTAATACCCCTAAGTATATTAGCATAATTTAAAACACACCTGTAGAAAGAAAGGGAGAGAGGGAGGGAGGGAGGAAGGGAGGGAGGGAGGGAAGGACGTCGGGAAGGGGGAGGGAGCAAGAGAGATTTCTTTAGCAAGTAAATGAGATATGGGACTAAGAATTGTAAATTCAAAGATATCTATACTTATTGATATGAGAATACAAAAAGTATCTGGCTCAGTCGTGCTGAGTACCTTTATTCATTAAACAAAACAAAAACAAAACAAAACAACTCCCCATAAAGCTATCTTACATCTAATATTTTTATTAAAAAGAATATGTATTATGCACTGTAAATACTACCCTTGAATTATTTCACCTTAATTGTAGAATACAGTTTTATAAAAGCACTAGGGTTGTTTTTCCAAAGACATAGGTAAGAAGTCAGCAGCAGCAAGTCCCTGTCACCTGCTTTTAGTAACAGAAGTTACAGTGTTTCAACTCGCCTTAATGAGAAGTGATACTCATCGTTCCTTAAACATAGCGCCCCTTCACAGGCTCCTGAATGTCACTGGACTTGTCATCTGTCAATCAAGGGTAACTCCCAGGTATCCCTAGGCACATTCAAGGGAACATTCATAGCATCACTTTGAAATACGGAATTATTTCCATAAACATCCACACAATAAAGTTGAACACCAAGTGAGAGGCAGAGGTAGAAGGTGACGATGCTGAACAACACTTGTGGGAAATATAAGCCCCATTCGCTTACACGGGAAATTTCCCATCACCCTGAGTACTGAAAACACCACCGGGCGGACCTGCCTTTTAGAACCTGGAGGGCTGCTTGGAAAGAAAGTGTTGTTGTTATATGTGTTTAAAGCAGCAATGAAGCAGAACATTTTACCTGCTAGAGAGGAAAAAAGAAAAAGAAAATCTTTGGCAAGGCTTTTCTACACGGGCTCTGTTGTGCATTGACTGAAGAGGGCGACGAAAATGAACGGCAGTTCTGTTGCAGTAGGGTGACTTAATAGGCTAAGGCACGCAGGCAAGGCTCACCGCGGTTTGTAAGTCTGGGTTACAGTGAGTCAGAGCAAGGCTCATTCATTCCCTAAGACTATGTGCCACTTAAGAAAATTAACTTTATCCTTATTAATTCAGTTTATAAAAATCAGGTTGCTTTTAAATATATTTGAGGCTCCGATGAGAAAATTCAGTGCTGAAATCATAGTCATAATTGCGTTCACACTTGGCACTTCCTAACACAAGAGGTTTATTTAACACATAGACTATAGAAGGGAAGTCAATGTGTATAATAAGGAAATCAATGGAGGGATTAAACCTTAGGTAAAATGTTGTCTGAAGGGTGAACTACAAAATGAAGACCATGAGGCTGGTATTTAAGCCTTGCCTGTCTCTTTCAAAGCGTTGTTGTATTTCATATTATTTTCAATGGCATTTAATTATATCAAAGAAAAATCCCCAGATGCAAAGGGAAGACAAGAGCTATGGTAGGATAAAACCTGAATTAGAATCACTCTAATAATGCAAAATTGAGCATAAATCTTTCAGAGTAAGTCTCACAGGCAAACTGCAAATGCAGAACAGTTAACTTGGGTTTCCTCAAGATATTACTATCAAAACTGTCAAGAAAGCTCACGTTTGTTTGTTTGTGTGTTTTTGAGCAAAAAAAATAAGAGAAAGCACTCATGGACACATACAACGGGGTGGGGATTGTGGGGGCGGGGTAGAGGTTGGGCTGAGGTGGAAGAGCATATGGGGGGATAAATGGCAGTGGAAAATATACGACACAAATAATGTAAAAAATGTTATAAATGTTTACGAAGAAAAGAAAAGTTCCTGCTTTAAAAAAAAAGTTTTCACATAAGACCGAGATTCTCATAGAAATGCACACCTAGACTAGAGAAAAGCAGAAACCGTTTCACCTACCGTCAAACTTCTTGTGCCTGGACACAAACGTGGTGCGCACAAAGTGACTCGTCTCCTCCACGAGGTTTTCAAACTCCAGCTTGCTTTGCTGGCTGAGCTTGTCTTCCATTTCCGTGGTGCAGCATGTGTATTCTTGAGGACAGATTCTCAAGTGCTCCCCTGCAAGGAGAAGACAAATGTCACTCTGAGGGGATAAGGCTCGGGGAAATTCTCGTCTCTAACACTTCCCTCAAATCCTGGGCTGCCTGTTCCTTCAACCCCTCCGGGAACTCTCTGCGAGCCTTCTTGTACTTGACACATCCAACGCTCTGGCCTGTCGTGGGCCCTGAGACTAGGGCCTGACTCTCTCTGTCCCCTCACCCATACCCACATGTGGAAATCCGAACCCCAAAGGTAAGGACAATAGGAGCCAGAGCCTTTGGGCGGTGGTTAGGTCATGAATGGGATGAGTGCCTTATAAGAGACCCCACGAGCTCATTGATGCCTCTCTTCTTCCAGCAAAGAGGGCATCTGTGAGCCAGGGAGCAGGCTTCCGCCAGACACTGAACCTGCTAGCGTCATGACCTCGGACTTCCCCGCCTCCAGAACGGTGAGAAGCGAATGTGCTGTTTATAAGCCACCCACGCTTACGGTATTTTTGCTACAGCGGCCCACACAGACTAAGACATCTGGTATTTAGTTTCTGACACTGTGTTGTAAATGAAGGTCTATGAAAGACCTCCAAAGACCACAGCCATGGTTTGCTTTTATTTGAAATGTACCAAGTAACATCAGGTGACAAGAGATGCGATACAGCTTCTTTGGAAACCTCAAGTAAGGCAAAAGACAGCCCCACACCAGAGCCTTAGACAGCGAGGGCAACGAAAGATGGCAACTGTGCCCGTGTTCTTGCTCTGTCCAGCCACCTGTCAGAGTGCATGGGCTCTTCTCTGGGGGAAAGTGACAGTATCTTTAATGGCAGGTCTCAAGTGCCACACGCACTCCCTCAGTTGACATTTCTTGTTAGAGACAAAATGTTCACCTACAAGGAGGGAGGCGCTGATGGATTCAATTAACACATATAGAAATGTAAAGTAAAAGGTAATGAAGACTTGTATTCAATTCCATGGCCTTCACTCTGGCTATACCAGGCCACTTGTTTTGACAATATTACTTTCTCCAGTGCTCTCTGCAGGTAGGAGCCAAACCTTTCCTTCATAACATTAAAATGGTCTGAAACTAGAACATGAGTCTTCAACAGCTGCAGCTCCTTGAGTGGCAAAAATGTTTAACAGAGTCTGGAGGGAAGAAGAAAAATCCACCCAACATTGTGCTAAGTAAAACCAACAAATGGCCCCTGCAATGCAAGTCATTGTAGGTCATTTGAAAAACTACATGTCCTTGATGTGATGACTGAAATTCATTTATAATGTTTAACAATATTTATATAATATTATGTCCTGTGATGCTGTGTGACGTATAGGGTGTTCCATGATGGCTCATGCAGTTTGGTGCTTTAGTGTCTACTTAAATCAACCCCAGAATTAATAAATGAAAACACTGCATATTAATGTCAGGTCTTACATAATTCCTGGAAGGAAAGGAGACCATAAAATATTATATGTATATTTTTAAAAAGGAAATGAAAATACATTGTACTTGACAATATTAAAGATCAAATTTAAGATAACGGTTCCCTCCCAGGAGGAATTAGGATTTGAAAGGAAAAACTCAAATACTTTTATCTATAATCTTTTATTACTCAAGTTGCTTAATGGATTCATGAAAAGTATTATATTATCATCTTAACTTTTGCTGTACATTTAAAATATCTTGTAATAAAAGCCTGGAAATATGCCACGCCATTAAAATGTAGTAGCCACGACAGTTGTGCTGGAGAGGAGAGCAGAGGGTAAATATTTAAGAAGAAAAACAAACCGCCCTTGACATCCAGAAGCCAGCCTGGCACTCACGGCTGGGTCATGATCCTCTATTACAAATAAACGATCTCACAGAATCCCAGCCTCAGACAAGACTGCTCCGAGGCCATGAGAAAATGCAACCAAACAAGGCCATTGCAAAATGCACCGAAGCACAGACTAAAATAAGATTGCCGTCCCATCCAAAAAGTGCCCAACACCTGCTGTCCTGGGCAAAATGAAATATCTGATCTTGTACTTCTTTACCATTTACAGATCAATCTTCATTCTAGTCCTCCTCCCTGTCGATCAGATTTATTGAGATAACCTTACTATGGAATTACCTCTGCTTCCTGACAGCATCCAATGTGGTTTGTTATCCCTGTTTCTTTGAACCCTACCCCCAAATCGCCCAACCAAAATCCACAACCTATAATAAACTCCTCTGGAGTCCCTCTTAGTGAGAAATCCTATGGCCCTCCATGGTGTATTCTCGCTTGCTACAGCGAGTGATAACTCAGATGGTTCAACTACAGATGTGTTCCTGATAATTTCTGATTTGAAGGTACTGACCTACCAAAATGGGGACAGATAGAACACCCCAAGTTGAAAAATCTTCCCCAAGTGATTCTGATACTTACGACCCATTGAGATGCATAGTTCGAAAGTATAAGAGACAAGGAAGGAATAAGTGTGGCTTTATCACAAGCAATTGTTCACAAATATCTGATACTAGACTTGATAAGATATCAAGTCTAAACAATAAGGACACAACTCTCTCCAAGCTGAATGAATATTTTGTATTAACAACTTTGCAGAGGGTTCGCTTTTCTGACCTGCTTATAAACTGCTTTTGTAAATCTCACTGTTCTATTTCTTATTTTCCCCTGCTCCATTTTCTACCCTGTGTTAAGCACAAATGAAATATCCATTTCTCAAGATTTAGTCATCGGGACTGCATTCTACTTCTGAATCACTATAATTGAGTTTACAACAGAAAACATGGGGCTTGGTGTAAAAATGAAACAAATAAACATACAGAATGACCAAAAGAAAATAAATACTTTATGACCTCAGGGAAAGAGTTGTATTTGGGGAATTTATGTTAAAAAACACCCTGGATCGACATTCATGAAAATTTGGATTGGAGACCTAATCTCTAACAAGCCAACGAAGCCAGTATTTTATGTTGTAATAAATTAAAACTGAAAGATACTTACTTCTTAATGAGATAGCTTTAAACCAAAATTATTTTGCTGGTGTGTGTGGGGGGGCCGTGCATGTGTGTAGGATCGTGGAGGCATATGTAAGAAACTGCCTTCCTCATTCAAAGCGGTTTTAGACCTTTTATAGAACAGAAAGGGTTCCCAACTAGTCCATTCCTCTCTCCTCCTTTCTGCGGGTCCCTGGCAGAGAGAAAACTAGAGAGACGGAGAGACAGAGAGAGACAGCTTGGAGAGACAAAGGGAAGGGATGGCGAGATCGCCCGAGTGTGGAAGAGCCTTGCTGTAGAAAAAGCAGGTCTTTCATGCCAAGTTCACCCAGAGTTCGGAGCACGCAGGCGCAGGACGTAGGAAGTGCATGGCTACGGTGAGGCTGGGCCTGCAGGCTTCCCGATGTGTCCCTGGACCGGAAGGCTGCGGAAAGCTTGAACTGCCAAAGTGCAGTTCCTTTGGCCCCCCGACCCGGGGCCCTTGATGCTTTCCAGACACACTGATGACTTTGAACGGCCATAAAGACTTAGGACCATGAGGCATTTGTTCTGAGTGGGTTATTACTTATTTATTTTGTTTGGGCCCCTTGAGCAGAAGTGTGCCAGGCATGACGTCTGGGTCACATATGGCCTAGCACCTGTTTTTGTAGGACCTGTGAGCAAATGGTTGGCAAAAATAAATAAATAAGTAAAATCAGAATAATGATATTTTTTGTTACGCAGAAGTTTTATAATATTCAAGTTTAATTGTTCATAAATAAAGTTTTATTGGAAAGAAATTCCAGGAACCCACTCATATATTGTCTATGGCTGTTAGAACAGCAGAGCAATTATGATGCAGACGATAGGACCTGCAATACCTGAACTACTTCCATTCTGAAATCATACATGCCAGCTATCCTGACATATTAGCTCTAGCCTTTCCTGTTCAAATTCTCCTTAAAGCAAGAGTGTGAAACTTTTCTTGGCTCAAATACTTCCTGACACTTATGACTAATTGAGTAATAATGGTATCCTTCCAAAGCTGTAAGTTATGGAAAAAAAAAGTGTTGTTTACGAGTTTCCCACCAACATTCTTTTATCAAAGTTGCTTAGGTTCTTTATTTGTTATCGATTATATAAGTAGATACAACATTAACTCAATTGGAGTGCCCTTAGACACCTCCGAGATCACTAATAATAATGATACTAAATAGCTCATTCCAGAAGATAAGAATGACAGACCATAAATGTAGATGTGGCATTGAAACTGTATTGATTATACCTTTGTTCATCAGACATTTCTTGATAACCTTCTATGTGCAAATCATGACAACAGGTTCATGTCCAGCAAGATAAGACAGAGAGGATCATGCCATGAGTTCAAACAGTTACATTCATTCTTATGGTTTTTGAGGTTCATGCGAATGAATAGCAGAGCCCCTGTGTTTTTATACATCTCCCCACTAGTTCTAAAATAAATAAGGGGAATTGTAGATGTGGGAGTGAAGAACTCTACCAGGAAGTTAGAGAATGGGCAGGAACTCAGCGACATCCAGTCAGACAACAAGAATGTCATCTCTTTTCCAAGAAAGAGGAAATGGGACTCTCTCCCCGTCTCTATACCCCTTCAACTATGCGTCACCTTTACAACATCTTTCTCCAAATGCCTGCCAGATGTCCGTTTTCACTCCAAGAGGCTGAGGTGACAGCAGAAATGTCATTCTGGCATGTCACACTCCCTCCAAGGATGGGCCTTGGTCTGAAAGCTGCCAGGACTAGGCTCCATGAGTGGCATGGTGGGAAGGAGCAGGAGACAGCAGGGCCTCATTAGCCACCGAAGCCAGCAGACTCTCTGCCCTCGGCAGTGACACGTGAGGCGCTCAGAACACACATGCCAAACAAATGAGCACAGATACGAAGTGCCCTGAATGAGTCACCTTTCATAGACTGTATAGCCAGGAAACTCTTGGTTTTTATAGCACAGTGGAAGTGTGAAGGAAAATGACTACCCTTGCACTTCCTAGAAAGTAGGCAGAAAAATCAAAAACTAAAAAGTGAAGAGAAGA